GCTAAAATACACACCCCTGGGTCCTAGTGCCTGCTCTCACATTCCTCCAAAATACTGTCAAAGCTATTTACTAAACTATGAATTGCCAGGAATTCAATGAGGTTTCATATTTTATGCCAAAATAGCCGAACCGGAAAAATTCTCCAACTCATATATTTTCAATTTAGCCGTTTTCATCTAAAAATTGGGATTCGTGTTGATTTAATGACAATTCACACTTTAGTCCTGTCTGTTCTAGAATCTGTCATTCATTCTGGGTAAATATGAGCTAATATACATTAAACGACTTTATAGTTTATACGAGTAAGCTAGTTTAATAAGCATATTGTAATTTAGTAAAATCATTTTGAATTTAAAATAAAAAAGAGAAAAAATACAAATCACCATATTTATTCAGCATGATGGGGAATCGGCAAGTTTTTAAAATGTAGTCCCACTTTTCAAGGTCCCATACTAAATTTAACTTCATATGTTATATGGTCATTGCAAAAAATATAGTAACATTATACTATGCTCTGTATAAACCTTATTTTTTTCAACCTGTCACTAGATGCCTTAACAACGAATTATAGCAGGACCTGAGTACAAGAATAAAATATCTAAAACAATTTCAGAGTAGCTTACTTTCTGTACAAAAAAATGTTTGACTGCCCCTTTAAAGAAATGCAAGATTCAGCTACATACGGTACCAATCAAATTGCAACAAATATTTCACTGACATTTTTTATAAGATTGTATTTCCTACCTTATATATCTATTGCAAAATGTTAGCTAAAAGGATAGTGAAGCGTCAACCAATCAGGAAGCAGATGGACACATGCTGAATATTTATTTATTTTAAACAAAACAAAACAGGTAGTATAACTGGGAGTATGTTATAAAACTTTTACATGCAAAGATTAATTTTTTTGTACATGTGTATTGTTTAAAATCCGACCACAATCTTAAAAACAAGCGCTGATAAAATTTATACTAGAGATTTTATAATAATCTGTTTTAAGATATTTTAAGACGTAAACGTTGGGATATTAGGATTTGGTTAGACTTTATAAAGTCTCGCTGTGATCAAAACTGAAGCTGTTCAGATATGAAAAAACTGGGTAGCTGGTTTACACCAAGGGCTAAGTTAACTGCTGGCATTAGGCAATTAACATGTTAAATTTTCTTTTTAGCCTACTCTTGGATGAATCTTGTGGCCAACCAGAGGTAAAGGGCACTGGCTGCATTTCTTGCATTGTGCAATTTGCAGTTGAAGGGTAAATGGAAATCCAACCTATTGTACATCCACAAAGTCTCTGCATGAGGTCCATTTGGGATGTGAAAAGTTAATTATAAACAAAATATGAACTTTTTATCCTACTGCAAATATTGGACAAAACATGAAAGGCTTAAGAAGTAAAATATATACATATTTTTTCTACTTCATTTATTTTTTAATTCATCAGTTTGTTTTGCTGTCGAACTAATGCACAATCTACGTTGAGCATCATCTACCAGTCCTGGTGACAATTTGCTGTCAATGCCTCACCAGTGACAAATGACCCTTTAACTTCTTACTGAAAGAATCAGGGCCAACACAGCAGATGGTAGGCACCATCAAGGGCGCATCTAGAGTCCAATCCCAGAAGGGGCATTGTAAACTTATTAAATCACGTAAGGGGAGATAAAAAAAATACACAGTAAACAATGTTTGTTACTGTTTGTTTCATTGCTGTGCGCCTCTGTAATGTGATATTTATTGTTTATAAGTTAATAGCAGGGTTCCAGAATGAAAACACATAAATAGCAATGTGAATGTGGATGTCTAGTTGTGTGGCATGTGTAAATGCTAAACTTGTGCACAGTGAGAAAAATGTGTTTCATCTAAATCAATTCATTTTAAAAAAGAAAATAACTTAAGTACTCCTAAAGCTGTTCATGTGGAGGTTCGACTCATCCGAATATCGTCTCAGGCACAAAAATGGGCCAATTAATGTACTTTTAAGTGTATACAGAAAAGAAATATTATATAAATATTTGCAGTACACTAATATTTTTGTGTCCTTTTGATCACAGATCAATTGAGAAAAGTAACCAATAGAGTGAAAAAAGATGAACAGTAAAAAAAGAAATTTTTATACACACAAATATATATAAAAAAACTAAACAAAAAATTTTTATTTTTTCACCCCTCCTGTGTGGTATGTTTATTCCTCATTCTCGGGTCCTCTACCAGAGGCCTGGGAGTTTGATGGAACTAGGAACAGCTTGGAACAGCTAAGATACTGCGCAGAACCCTCAAACACACACTTATATATATACTATGTATCCAACATGGGCTTGGCACTTACATTCCTGTCCCGTTCTTGTCTCGGTGCTATTTTGTGCCCCATTACAACATCCCAGAGAAATGCACTCAGTGAGCTTGTAGTCTTGTCCAATATATCCTTTATTTGTGCAAAGGTACAGTCAACGTTTCAGTCCTACTTGGAAAACATATATATATATATATATATATATGTGTGTATTTTATATTTATTAAAAAGATGGAAGTTGCTGTTTAGTGGATTAGTGAGTGCTCTGGATCTTGTGTATTGTATAAATTGTCCCCCAGCAGCCCCCTATTTATGCATGTTCAGGTGAGTGCAGCCGCCTTATTTCATATATATATATATATATATATATATATATATATATATATATATATTTTTTTTGCAATCAGGCCAACTCCTTGGTTTTGCACCCCTCGCTGTCACAGGTGCCTCATTCCAGGGCCTATGTAGTAGGGATGTGCATCATCAAAAAATTCAGTTTGGTTCGGAAATTTGGGAAAGTAAAAAAATTTGGCACTTCAGCTATTCGGTTCGGTTGGGCACTTCCGAAATTCGGGACTCCGGCAATCCAATACGGCACTTCCAAAATTTGGGTCTTCGGTTCAGCACTTCCGAAATTCAGGACTTCGACATTCGGGACTTCGGAATTTGGAATATCTGTAGGGCTCCCTAACCCTAAACCTACCCCTAACCCTAGCCCTACCCCTATCCTAACCCTACCCCTAACCGAATACCCTACCCCTAACCCTACCCTACCCCTAACCCTACCCTAACACTACCCTAAACCTACCCTTAACCTTAGCCTAACTCTAACCCTACCCCTAACCCTAACACTGTCATCATTCACGTAATTTCCCCTCCCTCTCTTGTTTTGTCACTTTTCAGAAATCCGAAGCACTTCGGCAATTCGGTTTGGTTAGGCATTTCCAAAATTCAGCACTTCGGACATTCGAAAGCATCTAGTTGTCCAAACTGCCCGAAATTCGTTCGAATTCACATTCGAACTGAAACTAATTGCACATGTATACTATTTAGCCTTGTACTGCAGAGAGCCCCAGGTGGAATTTTTTTCCCCAAGTAAGTGGATTAATCTCATAAGAGAAGACATTAGCCTGATAGAGTAGGACCTGCCAAAGATGGGGTATATTGACATTGGGGCTGGCATATACAATGTATGATCATATACTGTAACTAAACCCCCATTATTTTGCCTAGATTAGGTGTTTTTTTAAAAAACTTAAAAAACTAATATAATCTGTGAGCTTTGAAATTGCTGATTAGTGTATGAGTGACTGCACTGGATCTTGTGTAATATATATATATATATATATATATATATATATTAAAAAGATGGAACTCCGAAGCACAAATCAGACAAACAACAAATATGCCCAAACATACACACACATTCATATACACACTGACACATGTATACCCCCTGACACACAGATGCACACTGACATATACAACCACACACAGAAGTACACCCTGAAACACAGATGCACACACATATACACAGATGAACACCCTGACACACAGATGCACACACATATACACGGATGCACACCGTGACACATACTTGCACATACATATACAAGGATAAACACCATGACATGGATACACACGATCTGACACAAATAAACACAGTACATGTAATAATGTTTATGTGCAGCCACCTTTCTGTTAGCTTACCTTTTGTTTCCAGGGGGGTGACGTGCCTGGGGTCCTGCTGCTCCTGGCTTTGGTTGATGGGAGTGTGAAGGTCATGTTGCAGCTCTTCTTCCCCTCATGCTGTCCGTCTGTGCTGCTATTGTCTCCTCTCTTCCTCCCACACGGTTCTCTGTCTCTCTGAAGAAGCTGTCAGGAAGTGTCAGGCTGTCACATCCTCCAAGCAGGTCAATACCACAGGGTTGCGGTCACGGTCTTGAAGGGCCCAACTAGGCACCTGTTAAGCAAGAAAGAAATAATACTCATCGGGCGACTATGCACTTAGATGGCCCCGAAAAGTGTGCAAGCCCCGGTGCAGCTGCTGTACTGTGCCCTAAACCCCTTTATATATTAACATCCTTCAACTTAAAACAAGAACATGGCAGCCATTCAGGTATCTTACCATACAGCAATGGACCACTGTGGTAGGGAATACAATCTAACAACTATGGCTTTGACCACTCTCTAGTTCTGGAGGGATGCCCATTACAATGGTAGAGGTCTTCCTGTCAGGCAGCACACAGCACCCTCACTCACCTTTCTCTGAGGGGGAGTAGGGTGTCATCCTGGAGGTTCAGTGGTAATTGGTAAGATGGTGTGTTCAAGCACAACTATCCATGGCTTGCACAGTAGTTTATGTAAAATCACATGTCCTTATATCCCACATTTTTAATGTACTAAGAGGACCAGGGGTGGAGCTGTTCTCAGAAATTTTAGTTGACTTACTAATATACCTTCATAAAACTAAAATGCAATTTAGAACAAGAACAAGGTATCTTATTTACAAAGACTGGTTTCTAAACACGTTTGTTGTAGTTTAAAGACACATTAGTGTGCGTATTGTTGTTGTGGAGCTCTTATACACTCAGACACACCAACAATATGGAGCTCTTAGTAAAGAGGGACATTAGGATAGAAAAGAGTGAATGTTGTATTTGGGACCAGAATGAGGACTGTCCCTTTTAAATAGGGACACTTGGTAGCAGGGATGCATCACAAATTCTGGGGCCCCTGACACAGCTCAAGTTCTGGGCCCTTGTGGCCATCTATGAGTCTGCCCAGAGATCCTGCCCCAAGTCCACCCAGATGGCCCATCCTGAGCCCACCCACAAGGATGAAGTGTGTGTGCACTGAACGTGGAGTGTGTATAGTGGATGAGATTGTACTTTTGTGTAGTGGATGTAGTGTTTGTGTGTATTAGATGCAGTTTGTATAGTGACTGCAGAGTGTGTGTTTGTGTTGTGGATGTAGTGTTTGTGTGTATTAGATGCAGTTTATATAGTGAATGCAGAGTGTGTGTTTGTATAGAGAATGTAGTGTGCGTAGTGAATGCAGAGTGTGTGTTTGTGTGTATGCAGTGTGTGTGTACAATGACTTCAGAGTGTGTGTTTGTGTAAGGATATAGTGTCTGTGTATGGTGACTGCAGAGTGTGTGTTTGTGTAAGGATGTAGTTTATGTATAGTGATTGCAGAGTGTGTGTTTTTGTAAGGATGTAGTGTGTGTGTGTGTGTGTGTAAGGATGCAGTCTATGTAAATGTTTTGTAATATGTTGTTGGGATGCATACTATGGGGGGGAGCATAGCTTTATTCCCCCCTCCCTGCTTCTTGCCTGTGGCCAGGGAGGGGGGAAGATTACATTCGCTGGTGGTCCGGTGGCATGGTGTGGGCTGCTTCTCTGTCTCTGTCGTGTACAATTTATGCTCCACTCCCAACACCTAGATAAAGAGGGCAGATAAATAGGCACCCTCAACAACATTCTCTATACCACTGCCAACATATATGCCCCGAACAGAGAAATTTCTTGCACAAGATCCTACATGTATTATCCCCGATCCAACTAATATGTGGAGACTTTAATCTTATCATGGACCCGGCCCTAGACACTACCTTAGCACCCACTAGCCCTAGATTCCGACCTCCGAAACACAAATTTAAACACCTTGCCCCACAAAAATTAGTGCATCTCAACCACTTCTACGTGCTCCATAGTGGAGAAAAGGGATACACTTATTATTTATCCATACACAACTCTTACTCACGAATAGACGGGTTCCTGATTTCCAGTGGGGCCTTAAACCAAATAGAGGACTGCAGCATTGGGCAAATAGACTGGTCTGGCTACTCACCAGTGCTGATAATGTTAAAAGATCTCTATGACACCTCTCACCGTAGTCAGTGCAAGCAGATCTAACACACTTCTTCACCAAAAATGCTACCCCAGGTGTAGCACATGCCACCATTTGGCAAAGGCACAAGGCTGTAGCGCAATGCCTTCTGATACGTAGAGCAGCATATATTAAATAACGCTTCCAACTTCACATAAAAGAATGGCAGAAGACACTATATGACCTGATGAGACAAAATCAAATTTTTCCGTAACCCTCTCTACGGGACCAGATAGCCCAAACAACAAGACAGCTTAACCAATACGCCTTAGAGACAACAAGTCGTACCCTCAAAAGGCTCAAGGCAATGCAATACTCACAAGGAAACAAAGCGAGCAAACTGTTAGCATCCAGATTGCATGCAAGCCAATCAAACCAAAAAATAGCTTACCTACTATCACCTACAGGAGAATAAATAATTGCTCCTCGATACATTAGCAATTATTTAGCACGTTAGCACGTTATACAAACTCCAAGACAACATGACCATACATCACCCATCTCGGTTAGATATAACCAACTACTTGGACCCTATTCCCTTGCCCACACTCATAGACACACAAGCCCAAGACCTCTCAGCACCGATCACTAAGTAAAAGGAGCACAAAGCAATCCTATCCTTACCCAACAACAAGAACCAGTCCCAGACAGGTTCACCAATTCCCACTACAAGGAATTCAATTCCACCTTTACCCCCCACCACACTCACACTTTTAATGCGTCCGTCACTTCTGCCCAACTGCCCTCAGATACATTACTAGCACTCCCAAAACCAGGGGAACCACCCACTTATCCACAGAACTTCAGACCGATATCTCTCCTGAACAAAGACGTGAAACAATTTGCGAAACATCCAGACTTAGCTCTTACCTTCTGCACATCATTCATACAGATCAAGTTCAATTGATTAAAGGTAGACAGAGTGGAGACAATACACGCAAAGTGCTAGACACTCTTTATGGCCTCTCACACTGCAATCAGGGAGTGTACTCTTGTACTCTCCCTGGATGCAAAGAATGCCTTTAAATGCCTACACTGGAGGTTCCTTGAGGAAGTGTTGTTTAAATTTGGAATACCCCAAAGCTTCTGAGTGGTTAGAGCACTATACCACACGCCCTCAGCACAAGTACTCAATGCAGACTTTCTGTCCGACCCTTTCCCCATAACCAATGGCTCTAGACATGGGTGCCCAGTGTCACCAATGCTATATGTCATGGCACTGGAACCTTTGGCAGTACAGATCAGACTGCATGAGTCCATCCATGGGGTACAAATGGGGGAAGGAGGGCAAGAATACATCACAAACAGGGCTAACCCAAGGCATTGTGCTGCCTGTATCAAAGGATGAAATGCTGCCCCCCACAATCCCCAACAAAACTACACCAAGCAAAACACGCCAACATCCATTATGTTATGCAGTGTGTGTAGTGAATGCGGTGTCTGTGTATTTGATGCAGAGTGTGCATTTGTGTAGTGGATGCAGCGTGTGCAGTGTCTGCAGTATCTCTGGATTGCATGCAGTGTGTGTAGTGAATGTATTGTGTGTCTGTAATAGTGGATGCAGTGTGTGTGTATTTTGTAATGGATGCAATGTGTGGATAGTGAATGCAGATCATGTGTGTATATAGTGGATTCAGTGTGTGTGTATAGTGGATGCAATGTGTGTGTGTATAGTGGATGCAGTGTGTGTGCATAGTGGATGCAATGTATGTGTGTGTATACAGCGCTACAGAATTTGTTGGCACTATATAAATAATAAAATAATAATAATAATAATAATAATAGTGGATGCAGTGTGTGTGTGTGTGTGTGTGTGTGTGTGTATATAGTGGATCCCTTCCATTAATACACTGCCCCCTCCCTTCCATTAATACACTGCCCCCTCCTTCCCATTAATACACTGCCCCTCTCCCTCCCATTAATACACTGCCCTCTTCCCTCCCATTAATATACTGCCTCCCCCCCATGAATATACTGCCCTCTCCCTCCCATGAATACACTGCCCCCTCACTACTTCAAATGTGTGTGTGTATAGTGGATGCAGTGTGTGTGCATAGTGGATGCAATGTATGTGTGTGTATAGTGGATGCAGTGTGTGTGTATAGTAGATGCAGTGTGTGCGTGTGTGTGTATATAGTGGATCCCTTCCATTAATACACTGCCCCCTCCCTCCCATTAATATACTGCCCTCCTCCCCCCAATTAATACAATGCCCACTTCCTCCCATTAATACACTGCCCTCTCCCATTAATGCATTGCCCTCTCCCATTTATACACTGCCCATCCCTCCCATTAACACACTGCCCACTCCCTTCCATTAGTACACTGCTCCCCTCCCTCCCAATAATACACTGCCTCCCTCCCATGAATATACTGCCCCCTCCCTCCCATGAATACACTGCCCCCTCACTCCCTCCCATTAATACATTGGCCCCTCCCATTAATACACTGGCCCCTCCCATTAATACACTGCCCTCTCCCTCCCATTAATACACTGCCCTCCTCCCTCCCATTAATACACTGCCCCTCCCTCCCATTAATACACTACCCCCCTCCCCTCTCCCAAGCCCCTCTTCTGCTACCTTACAATTTGCTGTCATCCTCCAGCTCCAGCTCCAGCTCCAGCCCTGTTGAAGCAGACCAGACGCTCCTCTGGCACTGCGAGCAGGAGGGAAGGGGGAGTGGCTACTCTGCACACAGACAGCCAGTCTGCCCTCTTGTGGCCGGGAGAGCAAGAATCAGGAAATATTTTTCCTGTCTTGTTGGTCGCAACCACAGCTGAAAGTGGCCCAAGGCTGAAAGTGGCCCACTGAGACATTGTGATACATAGGGGACACTGTAGACTTGATAAAGACTTGGGTACAGGTCAAAATAAACCTGCTTATATCTATCACAGTGAGTGTCTGAGATTTTTTTTATTTTATACTAGGGGACACTGAGACACTTGGGGGCACTGTGAGACATGGGGACACTGGGAGACAGGGCAGGCGCTTCCTATAAGGCGAACTAGGCAGCTGACTAGGGCGCCATATAGGAAGGGACGCCCTGCGCCCCCATCGCCGGCCCTTTAAATGCTGCAGCCGCCTGAGCGCTCTGTAGAGAGCGCTCAGACGGCTGCCGCACTGCCTCACCTTCCCTTCCCTGTAGCGTGGCCGAGTGTGCACTTCCTGTC